TTTTTTTTTTTTTTTTTTTTGTTTTTTTTGTCAAAAACCCTTTTAAAACAAAAATAATACAACAAGAAAACAAAGAATATTCTTTGAGTCTTTTTCAATGATTATCTAACAAAGCAGATCTGTTTTCATAAATTTACCTTTACATATAACTTCATTAAGTCCAATAGGAATAAAAGTTACTTTTATCAACGGTTTTGTGAATAACAACTTGAATACAATATTCAGCCACACACATTCGCCTTTCTCTTACATTACGAATACTGCTAATGGTATCCTGAAAAAGAAAAAAAGCTAAAAGCTATATTTTCTTTAGCTGTTTCCGTTAAGCAAAAAGAAAATTTCAGAATTGTTACAGAATTTGAAGAAAAAAATTTTTTTTTGTATGGGGAATCTGTTGCAGCAGCTTACAGTTATTGTCTTCAGTATCTATCATTTGTAATAGGCTTAAGTTATTTCAAATAAAACTTTAAAGAATTGCTGCTAACAATTAAATTTGGACATAATAAAAGAAAACATTCAGAAAAATCTTGTAACTTTTTTTTTACCTTAACGGCAGTACGACCAACAAAACCGGTATGACAGTTATACGATGTTACGGCATCTGTATATTTTAGTATAGATAATATAGCAACATATTGCAATTGCATACCCCTCTTAGCCGGATCAGTGTACCCAAATTTTGCAGCAATTGTTCAGCTTTGTTTTGTTGCTGATATCCTTCTAAAAAATGTAGCAGCCTTCTTTTTTTTTTCGTTGGTTTTTTATGCCTTTTAAGTAAACTTTACTAACCAATATCTGAGAAAAAACAAACAACAATTACAAAACAAATTAAGCAGTTGTAAAAGTATTTTAGGCGTTATCACAACACTCACTGATAATACAATTCTTAAAAATAGAATGTGTAAAAAATTTGGTTCTTTTTAGCCTTTTTTTCCTAAACTGGCAGATAAGCATAGAAAATACTCATATTGTTCAATTTCTTAACCATTCTCTATTGATTTTTCTTGTGTTTTTTCTTGCTCTTTTTTTTTGAATCCTTCAAAAAGTTTATATCATCAAAAAAAGATTGGTGAAAAAAAAAACAATTGTATGAGAATTTTTTTTTGCCAAACAGTTCACAGTAAACCAAATAGACAATTAAAGGTGTGTTCAAATCTTAGAAAAATTTATTTATGATCTCTAATTCCTCTGCTCGCAAATAGTTTAAAGTTTGCATATAAATAATGACTTTATTATTATTATTATTTTTTTGTTTTTGAGTTGTTAGACAGAATAAAATATTGT